TGGAGATGAAGAGGTCGAGGGAGGGTAGGAGGCCTTGGGGTGGTGTCCAGGAGGAGGTGGTGTGTTGGAAGCGGGAGAAGGGGTCAGTAGAGGGAGGGTTAGGTTCACGGTTAAAGAAGTAAGCGTGGAGGCGGAGGCGGCGGAAAAACTGCTCTATGTCCAAGCGTGAGCGGTATTCGTTGATCTGTGGGTGGAGGGGGACAAAGGTGAGCCCTTTACTGAGGACTGACCGTTCATCCCCGTAACTTCTGTAACTTCCCCGCCTCGGTGGTCGAGAACGCCCTCAACCATGTCTCCCACATATCCCGCACCTCATCCCTCACACCCCGTCCACGCAATAAGAACCAAAAAAGAATCCCCCTCGTCCTCACGTACCACCCCACCAACCTCCGGATCCAACGCATCATCCTCCGACACTTCCGCCATCTGCAATCCGACCCCACCACCCAAGACATCTTTCCCTCCCCACCCTTAGCTGCTTTCTGGAGGACAACTCTCTCCATGACTCCCTTGTCCGCTCCACACTCCCCTCCAGCTCCACCACACCCGGCACTTTTCCCTGCAACCGCAGGAAGTGCTACACCTGCCCCCATACCTCCTCCCTCACCCCCATCCCAGGCCCCAAGAAGACTTTCCACATCAAGCAGATGTTCATCTGCCAGTGTGGTATACTGCATCCACTGTACCCAGTGTGGCTTCCTCTACATCGGGGAAACCAAGCGGAGGCTCGGGGACCGCTTTGCAGAACACCTACGCTCGGTTCGCAATAAACAACTGCACCTCCCAGTTGCGAACCATTTCAACTCTCCCTCCCATTCCTCAGACGACATGTCCATCCTGGGCCTCCTGCAGTGCCACAACGATGCCACCCGAAGGTTGCAGGAACAGCAACTCATATTCCGCATGGGAACCCTGCAGCCCAATGGTATCAATGTGGATTTCACAAGTTTCAAAATCTCCCCTCCCCCTACCGCATCCCAAAACCAGTCCAGCTCGTCCCTGCCTCCCTAACCTGTTCTTCCTCCCACCTATCCCCTCCTCCCACCTCAAGCCGCACCTCCATCTCCTACCAACCAACCTCATCCCGCCCCCTTGACCTGTCCGTCCTCCCTGGACTGACCTATCCCCTTCCTAACTCCCTACCTACACTCACCTTTACTGGCTCCATCCCCGCCTCTTCGACCTGTTTGTTTCCTCTCCAGCTATCCTCTCCTCTATCCCTCTTCTATCCGCCTCCCACTCTCTCCCTATTTACTTCGGAACCCCCTTCCCCTCCCCCTTTTCTGATGAAGGGTCGAGGCCCGAAACGTCAGCCTCTCTGCTCCTATGATGCTGCTTGGCCTGCTGTGTTCATCCAGCCCTGCACCTTGTTGTCTCGGATTCTCCAGCATCTGCAGTTCCTCCTATCTCTCCACATGATAGACTAATTAGTAAAGATCAATCACATGGGACTCAAGGTGAGTTTGTCAATTGGATACAAAATTGGCTTAACAGCAGGAGACAGAGAGTGATGACGGAGGGTTGTTTTTCAGACTGGAGGCCCGTCAGCAGCAGTGTTTCACAGGGATCGGTGTTGGGTCCACTTTTGTTTGTCATTTAAAGAAATGATTTAGATGAGAATATAGAAGGCATGGTTGGTAAGTTTGCAGATGACACGAAAATCATTGTATAGTGGACAGTGAAGATGATTATCTAAAATCACAAAGTGATCTTGATCGACTGGGTCGACAGGTACGACAGGCAAATGGATTTTAAAATGGATAGATGCCAGGTTATGCATTTTGGCAAAATAAACAAGGACAGGATTTATAGAACTAGTAGTAGAGCTTTAGGTAGTGTTGTAGAAAGAGAGATCCATGCATTCAGAAACATAATTCTTTGAAATTTGTGACATGTGTAGACAGGGTGATTAAGAAGGCATTTAGCATACTTGCCTTCATTGCACAGATCTTTTAAGTACAGGTTTTGGGATGTCATGTTGACGTTGTACGGGACACTGGTGAGCTTTTTCTGGAGTACTGTGTCCAGTTCTGGTCAATCTGTTATTGGATGGATATGGTTAAGCTGGAGAGGGTTCAGAAGAAATTTACCAGGATGTTGCCAGGAATGGAGGGCTTGAGTTATAAGGAGAAGCTGGATAGGCTGGGACATTTTTTATTAGCACATAGGAGGATAACAGGGATCTTATAGGGGTTTATAAAATAACAAGTATAGATAAGGCAAATGGCAGATGTTTTCTCTAGGTAGAGAATTTCAAGACTAGGGGACATATTTTTAAGGTGAGAGGAGAAAGATTTAAAAAAGACATGGAGGTGCTTTTTTTTTTGAAGAGTGCTTAGTGTGTGAAATGAAATTCCAGAAGAAGAAGTGGTTGCAGGTACACTTACAACGCTCAAAAGACATTTGGATAAATACATGAGTAAGAAATGTCTGGAGGCATATAGGCCAGCAGCAGGCAGGTGGAACTAGTCAGTTTGGGATTATGTTTGGCATAGACTGGTTGGACCGAAGGGTCTGTTTCGTGCTGTATGACTCTAATAAACTGCACTCCACTGATCTGTGATTCGAAGGCAGGTTATAAATGCTATTTAAGATGTTGCTGGTAGAAGCCTGACCGTCGCTGCAGAACTATCCGTGAACCGATCACCGTCAGTTTGTCCCAAAAGCGAAAACGCTTCTCTCGGGATGAGTTCATCATAACAGAGCAGCAACGACTGCTTCTTCGACTGCAGGGCCTTCAGCAGACATCGTGCGAACGTGGATTTCCCGGCTCCCGGAAGGCCCGCTACCAGACACAGACACAAAGACGGAGACCGCCTGGTCTCCCGGGACCCTCTCTGTACCCCTCGCTCCTCCAGCGCTGCCGATCAGCGCGAGAACCCCGCGGCTCCCAACTTCCGGAACGTTTCAACACCACCGGACCGAGTCGTCGGAAGTCGGTGCCTCCTGATTGACGTGACAGGGTGACCAATCAGGGATCGGTTGTCGTCTGGAGCCCACCAATCCAGCGACGCGTGGGCAGGACGAATCGTTGAGGCTGCAGGTAAGGGGGCGCTCGAAGTAGCTCAGTTAGGGCCTTTGTGGCGAAGTGCTATGGTCACTACCTTTGAGAGCGCGGATCCAAGTCCCATATTACCCAAGAGGTGTGCCTGAACAGGTTGATCTTTTTAAAAAAGAAATCTAGATACTCTAGGGCACTGAGTCGTGGGGCAAACCACCTTAGCAGCCTCTCACTCTCATGTGACAAGTGATGGCATTCACTGACAGGACCTCAAAAAATACTCGTGTCATCACTTGGATTTTAAATGCCACCCACAGGCACGAATTATATATTGAGAAGATGAAAATTCAAACATGATCGATCACTAACAAAATCCATTAATGCAAAGAAGCAAATGTAATTTAAACCACGCAAAAACATTAACCGAATCTGTCACGTTCCCTGAGGAAGCCAGTCTCAAAATTCTATACATCCTCATTTAGTTTGTGTGAAGTGCCTGATTTGGGGAGAACTTCACTTGAATTCAGTGTTCAACACGAGACCTTATTTTGATATTTTTACACAATTCATAATTTGAGATGTCTACCATTTTAAATGTAGAATGGGGTCGCATGAGTACTTCCATGTGGCTCTGTCAAATGAAGTAATTTCCAATATAGATTATGGATTAGATCTTCTTACTAAATTCACCAAAACATTAGGTTATACATACTTGGTCAAGTTGGGATGAAACTGACAGATTTCTAGCTGTCATACAGGATATGGATATTCTTACATGGCTGAGTAATTATGGCTGATCTACTTTGGGTGGATTTTTCTTGCCACCCTGTGTGGAGTATCCAGTTCCTGCCAATAGAGAGCACTTGTTCCATGGAGAACTATTAAAATAAATCTGTTTCTGCTCAGTCCATGGAACGAGACCATTTCAGTATGCTGCTACCACATCCTCTTCAATCAAAATCACTTCTACTTTCCTTCCTCATCATGTAGTATGAGGAAAAACTGAAGTTTTAATTTTCTTTATTGTTCTTCTCTTTTCCTCACTCAGCTCCTGAATCTTGTACTACATCTTGTTTGCTTAATGAGTTTTGAAATGTAATAGCTCCTCTTCTGTGGGCCATGATTGATTCCTCTCCTTTAAAATTGCTGCAATTAGTCCTAACTTTGAAAACCGTTCTTTGCTCAAACTATTACTTTACACCAAACCCCACTTTATCTCAAAATTCTCATAAGTATTGTTGCTACTCTAATTTTCCTCCGCCGTGTCCTGGTCAATTGCTTTCAATCTGATTTCTGATCTGCTCACAACAGTGGGACTGCCTGCCATGACTAAGTGACATTAATCTTATTTACTTTTCAATGCTTTACAACATGACATCCTCTGCTATCAATCTTCAGTGCTTCTCCTTAATGGTTTGCATTTATGGCACTACCTCTAGTGGTTACCCCTCTAATTTGTCTGTCAACACTGGCAATGAATTTAGTCCCATGCAATAGCATTTTCCAAAATTCCACCCACATATTTAGGGGTTACGTCTTTCAAAGTTAGGTTTAGTTGCTTTTTGCCTAGATGTCTGTCTACTGAAATGCCACAATGACTACTACACCTCCATTAAGTGAATGTAAATAGATAAATCTGAAAATTGTTAAATATGATCACAAAGGTTTTGCTCAAGGTACATGTCTGAAGACAGAGTAGAGGAAACATTGTCATGCTTACAGGTGTTGTATTTTTTTGACTCAAGATCAATTAGCATTTGGTTCCCAATGTATTTCATTCTCATTGTTAACACCCTCACTTCATGAAGACAAAAAAAACACCCAAAATGTTTTTAAATTTTTGTTTCTCTAAGTTACATTTTCATAGTTGTAGTATCTTATAAATGTAAAAACAGAGTGACACACAATTAAAACAGTTAAAATCAGTAGAAATAAATGTTGCAAAAACAATCACCAGTCCAGGTCTGATGTAAATGTTAATGTTTAATAAATCAGGGATTCCATCTGTAGTACATCTATAAATGCTTGTTAGTTTCTTTTTCATTTCTTTCATTTAGCAATCATCATTCATAGGTAACTGAATACGTAAAATAATTTGTTTATCTACATTTTAAAACTCATTCAGAATTGTAGACGATATTTTCTCAAAAAATAAGTATTAATACATCACATTCTGACAGTGTATACATGGCAACAAAATATTGATTTGATAATCCAGAAGAACATCAAAACATTCTCCTGCATTCTTGATGTCCTTTAGATTGGGTGTAGAATTTTAAAAATCCTGAAAGTGTAACTATTAATTAAAACAAAACAATGTAGAAAAATTTGCAATTCATACCAAACTGATAGAAGCCTGGCTCATTTTTTAAATTGAGTCCTCTGCATTTTTTTTACAATATTGGATTCAACTGAAGCACCTCTTTTTTTTTTTTAATTCATTCAAGAGCAAAAGCTGTTGTGATTGATTGGACCTTAAATATCACAGTCCAAATCAATTCATTTATATCAAATCTATTTAAAATGGAAATTGTGAAAATATGGAGTACAAAGTAATTTAAGGTCAGTCCATTCTGTTCATTTTTTCATAGCTTGTCAATTAAATCACTATATGAATATAATCACTAGCGAGCAATCCCAGACAATTACAGATAAAGTACTACTTGGGCTAGGCACTATAAGGACATAGCTTTCAATGTGTCTCAAGTATTTTATGTCAACACTCAAAATATTGAAAACTAACCTCTTAAACACCCAGAATGGATGGAATATTTTCTCCCTCACTGGAGGGACTAAATTCACTGTTACCCAAATTATATGCCTTTTTGGCAGATGAGAAAAATCTTTAGCAGCAAGCCAAGGCAACCTGCCTGCTGGATTAAGGAGGAGGGGGAGAGTGGGTTCCGTTTGCCCCCAATTTGGTGACAGAGGCATGGATAGGAGGCAAGAGTGCAGGCTCTGAAAACGCCACGGCTGTTGCCTCTAATCCCACATATCCACTCTTTGCATGGGACCCTTATCCTACAATCCCTCAAAGTGGACTCAGCAACTCAGCATTGCAGGCTGCTGGCCTCAGATTTAATAGTAGTTTTTGGTATGGTGTGACTTCAGTGTCCAGGCACAGCATACCGAGAAGCTTGCACTTAAGCACCTAATTGCTAATCGGCAAACATTCTCAAAGATGGGGACAACGAATCAGTTGCACAGAATACGCCCGGCCCACTCTCCAGAGTACAAAATTAATAATCACAGCCTGTTGTGTGGACGACCGATTTATTACTAATGTAACAGATTAAAGTGCAATTCAACTTCTCAATTAATATGATAGCAGTAATCTTCACTCGGGTAGTTCAAATGAATTGGAAAATGACAATGTGAGCACTAATTAATTTAAAATTAAATAGTTTAGGATTATTTACATTTTCTTATGTTTGTATAACAAGGTTTCATAGAACTATTTGTTAGCTTTCTTTTGCATTAAATGTCCACTGTGGTGCAAAGTGTTAACAATTTAGCTGGTGAATAATGAAACTTACTCTACCATTCACAGTGTCCCTTTTAAAATTTTTCAGCACATTCCAACACTTAAATTGCTATTTTCTGTTTCTAGATCATGTAACCTCATTCTTTCATGATCCGAGCCAAAACATCTTCCCAGTAAAGTTTTCCATTCTTGATCATGCTGTCGGAGTCTGCAATTATGCCAAAGTATTAGCTACATTTTCTAGTTGTTGATTTGAAATAACTCTGAATTGACGCTTCTCAAACATACTCTGTTCATGGTTAAGATGAAGACAGATTAACACCCGTAGGTCCATATAACTAGGACTACAGTCAAATCTATTGACATCAAGAAGAGACTTGCAAATTTATACTGTGCAAAAAAGAAATAAACATAAAACAATTTATTGTAGGATTAATTTGAACAGAGACAAATATTAGTTATGTAAGTGAAGAAATTCAGTTGTACCCAAAACGGGCAGAATCAGTAGAACAAAAGATTTGTGCATCAGTCCACAAATGCCTGAGGTTTGAGTCAAATTTGGCTTTGGGTTGCAACTGGCACACATTTGCAGAGGACAGGCTTTTACGCTGATCTAGCTGAAAGTGAATGTCTTGGTGATGTCTTGAACATGTCATCCATGGTCTTGAGTTCTTTCGAGGACTGTGGTTTTTTCACTTGTTTTCCTGGACCTTCAAAACTAAAACTTAAATACCCTGGATTTTTCCCAAGAGGCCTCCAGTGATCACTTTTAAAGGTCACTGGTTAAGACATTCAATACCTGATATAATCAAGTGGAGAAAGTGTCTGTAAACTACACTGATTTCTTTGAGTTTTGTAGTTCAGAGTCCTAGATCTGGTGCCTTCCTGATTTGCATTCTGAAACAACTATTTTTATTTTCAGATATGTTCTCAGGGTGACTAAAAGTTACCCAGTCAATATGGTGCACGTATGGCACATCTTGGACGTAGCAATTTGCATTCCAAAATTCTGAAGTGGTATGCATATTTTATATATGAAAATCAAGCAACTATGAACTGAATGTATCCTCTGTAAAGACCTTTAATGAATAATTGCATTTTATTCTGCCAGTCCTATTTTTAAAGAAAAACTTCAGAATTTACCTTTGCGAAGCATTCAGAGCCTCATGTATAAGCAGCCGTGGTATTAAAGTGCTGTAATACCATTATAACTTCATTGATACTGAGGTAAGGCTTCTAAAAATGTGTTGTGAATCTATTTGTTGCAAAAATAATTAGGGATAATTATAAAAGAGAAATAGTATACTTTTTAATGCTTTCCTGAGGTATCCATTTGATCATTAATATTACTGGATGTAAGGCACGGTCTATGTTCATTAGGTGCTAAGGTCTAACTTAAGCCTGTCGAGATGCGGTAGGTCTTGGAGGCACAACAGGTCTAGGAGGCACATTTGATTGAGGAGTTACAGTAGGCCTAGGAGGTGGAACGGGATTTTGACGGTTTGGTATATAGGCTACATAAGGTACCGGATTTTCATTTGAAGCATATTGTCTAAAAACAAAGGAAAAAAAAAAGTAACTTTGTTAATATTATCAAAAAGATGGTTTTCACTGTATTTATAAAAATAATCTGAGTATAATGATGGTACACTTGCAGGTATGTGTCCTTCAGCAACTAAGCTGAATGGTGTAATGCATGTAATAATGAAACCAACTCTGTTATACACCAATAAGAAATACAAACAGTGTCATGGAACTCAACAAGTTGGACAGTTTCCATGTGTTGCTTAATGACAAGACAAAACTACCAGTGAGGAAGCCCTGTTAAGCAATTAATAACAAAGTAAACTTTAACAAAGCACAGCTCTGACAACCAGCAGTATTCCTGTGGTGGGTACATTTGTTGCAAAGACATCTTAAAACCACTGAATTGTTATGATGGAGCTTGACTAATTTCTCAAAAGTTATGGCAAAAGACAGATTGTGATGATAATTTAAACAGGAAAATAAAATCATTCTTAAGTTAGCTACAGAAGGAAAAACGGGTAAAGTTTATATCACTGTCCTTATTTCCTGTGCTGACATCAATCTAATGAACATGTACTGCAGCCAATACAAGGCTTATATATCTTCCATGAGGTGCAGTGCTCAGATATGAATGCAGCATTTTTGATGCAGTTTGACCAAGACTCAATAATATTACAGCATAACTTCAACCTAATTGTATTCCAGCCCCTTGAAATAAAGAAAACATTATATTAGGCTTTTGGTTGCTTTGTGTCTAGTCAATTTTAATGATTCATGCACATAGATACGCAAATGTCCAGATCTTCCTCAGTTTAGTTTCTCATAATTTGTAAAATAATCCAAGTTGTCTCTCTAGAATACATATTGGATGATTTCAATCCATAATGAACTTTTTTCAGACTCTTTATACCCTTATAAATTCCTGCTGCTGTCTGCACGATTTAGTATGTCTCCTAAATAGTGTCAGCTGAAAAATTGAATATACAACTCTCCATTCCTTCATCTAAGTCATTGATAAAGATACTGAAAACCTGAAGCCTAATATTGGTCCCTGGAGAACATCACTTATCATATCCTACTAATGTGAACATACATGTGTTAATCTAATTCTCTTATCTTATACTTCCTGACTAATTTTCAACCCAAGTCACAAATTTGTCTCCAAGTCTGTGTGCTTTAACTTGGCAAGTAATCTCTTGGGTGAAACATTCTCGGGACCATGCCATGGATCTCGGGAAAATCAAATCAGTCTTGAAATAAAGGCTAAGATTGGTGGTGAAGAACTGATGGAGGTTCTGTAGGAAACCAAAAGTAGTTTCACATTATGCAGGCACTTACCTGAACAGTATAGGCCTCCCAGTCAGGATTTGAGTTGTGAAGAATCCCATCCCCGACAGCTGCTGACTAGTGTCAGAGTCTAGATGCTTCCTAGTACTGGCTGTACCAATAGTGCTGGCTCATGCCACTAATACACTGATGCACTCACCGGTGATCACCATTGGATCCCCAGAGAGAAAGGTTGGATGGGATGGAGATCAAGGGCAAGGGTCACAGAGTTTGGTATAAAATTCTAGGGCAAGTGGGGATTGACCCCGTTCCCAAGCCCCTTGACCAGGCACTGAGTGCCCTTGAATGTGACATGCCCCAGTAAACTGCTAGCAAACACAACATTAAAGTCCCAGACTCAGGGGTTTATTAAGTTGAAAGATTTAAAATCTGCTGGTAAAATTCCTGCAAAAATAGCATCAAGATCAAAGGGAAACCTTCTGAACAGCTTGGGATGAATGGAAACATGACCTCTGGAGAAGAATTCTGTACTGCACATGATTTATTTCATCTTGCTTTGACACTTCCTAACAAGCTAAACAATGCTTGTTGCCCAGAGATTTTTTTACAGTTTTTCTTTGAGAAGGTTATACAATAGCATGCAGCCTTTAAATGGCCCAATACTAGCCTCTTTGTCTTCCTTCCGTCAGCAGACACTATTCCACTAAATGTTGGATAACTTTATTAGTTGGATGTAAGGCCTCCTGCATTATTCTCAATATCCTCCTGCAAGCTCCACTAATTCTATCCAAAGTCTCATTTGTTAGATAGAAAATTACAGCAGGAAAATCACGTAAATAATGAGTTGCATGACCAGTTAATTTGTTTTTGGTGTCATTGGTTGAAAACACTCATTGGAAGCCCCTGCTGCACTTCAGAAACATGCTATGGTGTCTTTTGCATCCAACTGAATAAGCTGACAGGGCTTGGTTAAAAGTTTCAGCAGAAAGACTGTATGCCTGTCTGCACTGTACAGAAGGATCAGTCCAGATTATGTCCTCCAGTCCTGAAACAGGCTTGAACCCATGACGTTTTGATTCATAGTTGAAACGACAAGCACTCAGCTAAAATAATCCTACTCTCCTGCTCACTGTGATTGAACAATTGAAAAAGCGTAAGTCTAGGAAATATTATACAATTATCAATTCCATCATGGGGAATGTGCGACGTTTTATTTTAATGTATTGAATATTATTTCCATCTCAGTAGGATTCATCTAAGCACACAGTGCAAAAATGCGATTCTTGCATTAAATGTACATACCTTTGTGAAGTAATATCTGAATAGATATTTGTATTCCCAGTAGAAATAACCTAAAATACAAAAATAACATCCAGCATGTTGTTATTTCATCCTATACCCTTGTAATATTAAAATATACTACACCATGAGAGATGTCTGATTAATGTAATAGGAGAAATAAATATGTTAATGTTTGCATGAAATTTGTGTGCTGTTTCAATAGATATATTGACCTATTTCTGTGGATGGAAAAGACTGAAGCTATGGAGAATACTAAGACAACAGACAGTTTCATCTTCAGTGGATGTCAGGACAGTTCCTACTAAGAAAACTGTTTCTTGTGAAAGCCTTTGCCACTAATTTTATCTGTAATGAAATGTACTTACCAAAGTACTTTTACTTTCTGGATGAAAGTGAAATAGAATGAAGTATAGGGAAGGCAAAAACTATCTATGTAGTAACAAATGTGGTTTGGCGAGATATAGTTTTGTCTAAACTGGAATCAATATTCGTAAATATCTAAGTTGTAACTTCACAAAATATCTATATGAATTTCAGGTCCATTTGTCACTTGATCCGAGTGACAGTTTAGTAGCACTAATAGGAAAGTACTCACATGTATGATAATGTGGTTAAGAAAATATCATTATCCTGGAATATTATAATTTAATTTTATGGTATAGGAGGGTTATTGAAATCGTAGTGATTCTTACTTGATTATTCGTCCGATTGCCTTGGTTTGACAAATTGTTCTCTGATTGTCTTCTATTCTGTGTCCTGTAAGATAAAACAGTTATGTACATAAGAAACCCCATAGCTAGTAATGACTAGCCTCAGATTTTGCAATGTCAGCAAGGTCATATAGTTTTCCCAACTCTAATTTTAATCCTGAGTGAATAATAGATTTTGTAAATGTTTTATCTTGTGAACACATCCCCAGCTGCTATGTGAACAGCATTCATTACTCTACATAACTAGTTGCAATAAATCTCATTCACACAATCCTGCCATCCTTGGTATACATGCTGAGCTTAGTTAGTATCCAGTGTACAGTTAGGCAAGAGAAAGATCACCCTGGGTTCCCACTCCTGATTGCTATCCAATGAGTTCTAATCACAAATGCAGAATTGGCCGTCTGGTGAAGTCAGGATCAAGCTTGGCTTTTGGTGCCACAAATGTAAATGGCATGCCACTGTTTGCTGTCTAAGTCCATCCATGAAGAATAGTAAATTAGGCAGCAAACTTGAAGGCTCATAGAACCTTTAATACCTTTTAGGAGACACCACCTTCAGGATAGGTAGGGAGAAACCACACAGTAGAAAGTATTTTATTTTAATTTCAAATAGAAAAAAAATCAAACTAATCGAGAAACAATAAATAAGTAACTGCATTTCTAATGAAAACTCAATGAAAGGTTGGAGATGAACTCCAATGTCACATACGTTGCGTGTGGAGCTTTCCTCTTTCTCCAACGTTGCTTTATTGCATTACGGTTGAAAAAAATGATTAAACCAATGAAAACTAGTACAGGGACCACCAAAAGGAAAAATATTAGCAAGCCATCTCGAAGTGAAGTATCTAAAGGAAAAAATAGAAAAGACGACTTAAATGGTTTCCTACATAATGGTAAATTCACTAGTTGTTATGTTGTTGGTAATATTGAAAATTTGAAAGAAGTTATTTTAAAACTTGCCCTGTTATAGAAAGACTTTGCATTAAAGGTAATAAATTGGGAAGGCTGCATTTCTAATCAACTAAGTGTAGGTTGAGTTATTGTATTTGTGATCTGAACAATTGCCAGATGTTTGTTTCATAAGATCTGCATTGGGAATTTACTCTGGGCTTCTCCCATTCCTCCATCTTGACTTTAGCGAGGAAACTCTGTTTCAACATGTGAAAGGAATTTCTGGAGAAGCTGTATCACAGTTACTGTTAGGGAGTAAGAGATGATCCAAGGAAATTTCTGGTGATTAAGTCCAATTTATTCAATAATTCATTTATTCTTTTAACTGTTATTTCTGAAAACGTATTAAATTTGTATAGTTTTGTGTGGGTTAGTTGACTGGCACCCTGTCCTCTTCGGAAGCTTAGATTTTGTATAACTTAAATGTTGGTATTAGAAATTAGTTTTATGTATGTGGTTTTGGTGGTGATAAATTTATTCCTCATGGATATTCAATTGTCAAACAAGAAAGAGTGGGAGAGGTATTGGAAAATTTACCTTGGCAAAGAATTATTAAATTGCTTTGAAACTCATGATTAAATACACCCAAATTCCAATTTATGTTATAATTCTTGGGGCCTAGAAACTGATTCCCACTGACCTATTGGGTTTTAAAGAATTGACGTGTTCTTTGCAAAAATCCTTAACAATGAAAAAGTACATATTTGGAAATTCAATAAAGGATTTTAGTTTCCTTTTAAGAATAAAGCAAAATTTAATGGAAAACCATGCTCATTATTTATGTTATTGCATTAAATTAAATCATAATTATTTGTAATATCTATTGACATATCATCAGCAATCCGAATAGTTGTATTTCAATTGCTAATATGCTAATTTGCATGCTAATAGGAGAATACACCTGTTGTACAATAATGCATTTTTTTTTTAAATACCTATGCGAGTGGGTCCACTATCTATGCTTCCTCCAAAACCACGAGTGTCACAATTAGGTGGTGCCCATCCATCATCACAATGACAATTCTTGTTACTGTTGCAAACCTAATAAGATGCAAATAATATTTCAATAAAATATTACAGTTACACAATGATTAAAGGTAATTTACCCTTATTGCTATCATTCTAATGTTTTGGTCATATCAGCCTATATTTGTACTGCAACTAATGACATTTATCCATACGCTTCTGCTGAATTGACTTCAATAATTCACTACACCTAAGATTTTGTTACTGTTCAGAACTGCATCCTCTACAAAGCACTATCCAGGACCACTAGAATAAACTAATGATCTCTCTCAAACAGTGGCACAACCACAATAAAACTGGGCCTGTGAAAACATCAAAGGCTAATATTTTTACTATTAGTGGTACAGCCTTATAGGCAAGTAGTAAACTTCAAATAATAAGAATTTGAAATAATTTCAAGCTAAATATAAGACTGAAGAGTTGAAACTGGGATGCTTCAGTTTGATGGAGGTAGTTTTTTTTATGACAATAATTTAACATTTTAATACTAATCGGTACTTTACTACTTAACAAGAATTGTTAATAATCCCACCATTGTCAAAGGAAAATAATTTGGATTGCAATATAGCTTCAATAAATAACAATTAAATAAAATAATTTAGTCTTTTTGAGAAAATAAATTAATTTCAACATCTGGTTAGTCTTAATTTAGAAAAAAAACAGCATGTTATATCTTCACAGCAAAGATAAAGCATTAAGTAAATAACCATGAGCATAGGAAAACCTGTGATTAGGAACAGAATTATTCTTACACCACGGTTGTTGCATTTCCCTTTGATATCACAATCAAATCCAAGGTTGCTGGCATTTACACATTCAAAATTTATGCAGGCCTGAAAATACAGAGAAATTAAAATATAACAAATTTACAAATAATTAATTTTTCATTTGTATATCCATTACCTCTACCCAATTGAGAATATCTTTTCGTTTAATATCGTATATCAGTGGGGTGGAGTTGGATGAAGAGTGCGGATATTCAAAAGTGCTATCTGTGCTCCCCGCAACACTTTTGCTGAAGGACCCCCCCTCGCAAACAAAATATGGTGAAAAATCTTTGGTGGTCTGGTCACGATCCTGGTCTGGAGCATTAGATTGTTTCCATGTGTGCTGTTGATTAAATCATGCCTTTTATAAGTTACATACCATCAAGATGAGCATACAAACTTTCAGTTTAAAGTTCATACACTCTTTAAATTAATTGCTGTGTTTTGGCTTTGGGGAGCCTCTACAAATCTTTCTGTTATGCCAGGACGTGGTACGTCCAAGTCCTGATCTAGTTTCCAGGCATTAGGCTGATCTTATCCTAATTCACCAGAACAGCTGTAGATTTTCAGGATTCCTATCTCTAACAAGTGAAATTTTGCATTTTTGTCTAAGCGAGCTTTCAATTCATTTTAAAAATAATCTATTTGCACAGATTTAAAGTCTCATATGTCTATTTAAAAACCTCTAACAGTATTCCATTTGTACAAAAAAAGCCTCTTGATAGGCAAGTAAAGTTCGAATCATGTGAATTCAAAATAATTTCAAGCAAACTAAAAGGATGAAGAGTTGAAATTGGGAGGCTAGAGTTTGAAGGAGGTAGTTTTTTTAATGACAATAATTTAAAATATCTAAATACTAATGCAATGAGAACTATATTTTATCGCATTTAAAAACTGACAAACTTTTGGTCCCAAGTGGGTGCCTTGCTACAGCTTACTGTATTACGAGAGAGCGAAATACTGGCTGGCTGTCACACTGAGCTAGCCAGCAGATCAGATTTGTGGGTTGTTGGGGGTGCAGTAGGAAGTAATCCTGCAGTTAGTGCATGAGCCTCCAATGGGGTGGCAGAGAGCTGAACTTGCTTTGTGGGTCATTCTTATGAGGCCATTAGCAGTTTCATGAAAACTCATGGTTTATCTCCACCACATACAAAGGAATGGAACATATATATATTTATCTGTTTACTTTTAAAAAATTGTAAACAAAACCCTACAACCTACCTTGGATGCCAGTTGGCACATTTAAGCAGAATCCTGCAGGAAGCAGATGGACAGATTACTCTCCCAATTGTACACCACCTATGAATTACATTAGACCAGCCTTGGGCAGCATTGTGTAGCCAAAGTAGCCTTTGATCTTCAGTTGTTGGCTGCCCATTGTTGGGGTGAGAAATGGCAGGGTGCCAGTAGAAAATTGGTCCTAGTATGTTTAATTAAGCAAGAGAAGTGGCTTTAAAAGCAGTTTGATTTTGAAGAGAAAGTTTGACGCTAAGGTGATGAAGGAGTAGCCGCAAACTCAGTGGATACTAGTGTTGAAGGAGGAGAAAGAACAAAAAGGCAACTTGAGATCAAGGAGTCACCAAGGGAGTGCTGTAGGAAAACTATACACATATACAGGAAAAATGGAAAATGGAGAGCTGTGGACCCCATTGATGCTGCTTACATACAGTATACAAGTATGAGAAAATATTATGCCAAACTTTTCCTAATATTTAATATTAATTACTTGCAATGTATGAGCCTAGAAGTGACCCCAAAATAGATCAAAGCTTCCGAGAGCCATGCAACCTTTTTGGAATGAATAATGATAGAGAAATGTAAAAGTGAAAAATATGCAATTCGTCACATAACCAGCAGTCCCATCTGTAACTTATTGACTGTAAAACAATTCAGTTTATAACTTGAATCTTTAAATTTCATAAAATCTCTGATTGTTCCACTTTCATTCTATTCCTGTATATTGCCTTTTTTTACCTTGTCTTTGTTACAGCCAGTGCCTGTGTTTACATAAGAAGGATCAGTGATATCTGTGCCCACGTGGAAGTCAGCATTCACGCATTCAATGCCATTAACATTTGAAGTGCTTGTATCAACACCAAAAGGTCTCTCTGTCACTTTTATACATTGAATTTTGCCACATCCAGCATTACTGAAAGGAGGAAGAAAACAGTAACTTTTCAAGTTAAAAAGTGATTTTTTTTTGCATTTAATTGTTTTATAAACAGTACTGTACCTTAGTCTACATTTCTTGAATCGCTGGTTTTGGAATCCACAGTTCCCAAATCTGTCCCCTTGTAGATTTGCATGTTCAAAACACACATCTGGTGCACGCTGTGAAGCTGTTAATATATAACAAAAACAATGTGACAAATTTGACTGTGAATAATATTTCTTGCAATCTAATAATTGCAGCCAGCATTAAGTACGTTAATATCACCTAAACAATTGGAAATTTTATTGAATAGTTAGATGTTTCACGTGAACAATGGCAGGGAAATACAGCAAGTCAAAATCTAACCATTTTAGATGGATCTGTGGGATTTTCTTTGTTTGTCCTTGCGATTTAAGTGATGCTGGTATGGTCATATTTATTGGCCTCAGAAGGTTAGTATTGAGCCTTACCTCCAGGGATACTTCAGCCCCAAGACTTTAGGTTATAATGGCATTTTTTTCTGATATAAATTCCAAATAAAATTGAATAAAGATTTATATTTCCAATGAATGTTAGTGATAACTGTCATACTTACTAGAGCCAAAGAGTGCCTTGCATTGTGCATCATAGGTCTGACACAAACCATCATAGCAGTATGTCGTACCATTTGCACATGGATAACCATTTTGGATAAAAACATCAGGCTGGCACAAGTGTGAGGAGCCATTGCAGTACTCTGGAAGATCACAAACATTCGCTGCTCCTCTGCACAAAGTCCCTGCAACACGGAACTATATAGAATAATAAGTCTGAGAATTAAACAATAATAACATTGTTTGTTGAAAGTTCTACAAAAATGGATATTTCTATTTATGAGCTTTCAAAACTAGTGCTTAATGAAAAGAAATCTATTCGACTTGGTAAGATTTTAGTCATAATGAAGCAACAAATGACTAAAAAGCAGGTCTATCCACATTTGTTTCTACTTTATATGGCAAAGAAACAATTTACCATCTTTTTGTCATTTAGGCATGTAGAGGAGTGAAAAGTTTTTTAATGGGTAATATGAGCAGAACCCCTTTCCAACTTATATTGCACTAACCTTGTGTATATTTCCAGGCTCTGTGATGTTTGCATAAACTCTGGGAATTCTAGCACAGAAAATGCCTGCTATGGATTCTTTCCCAGTGATAAGTTATGTTGTTGTATAACTTAAAAGCCTGCTGCAGCTTGAGGTGGCAGACACCTTCCTTTGCAAGCAGCCCAGCAAGTCACACAATGTCTCATTTCTCTAATGAAAATAGAATATAGCAGGACCCACAAACAAGCTGCTGAACAAGAATGTTAAGGAAAAACAATCACATGAATATCAGGAATAATGTATTGTGTCCATGCAGAGAGTTTGAAAAAAGAATCATTTTGGATTTTTTTTGGTACAATCTTCACAGCCCCTTAACATTCTGGGCAATGACAAGTCAGTTGTTCAACTGTGGCAACAATGGAAAAATTAAATTCTCGACAGTGAGAAAAAGTCCAATTTTCCATTCAAGGTTTTAACTTTGTGACAAGAACCCTGGTGGTATGCAGCAAGAACCCTAATTGTATGCATTAGCATCTCATGATTTTATGCGACAATGTCAGTCATTGCGATTTGATCAGGCAGTGGAGAGAATTAGAATGATACAGCACAGAAAAGGCTCTTACAGCCATTGTATACAGCAACAAAAATCTACTCTAAATCTACACTATTCCCACTTTCTATTGGATATTATGACATTTTAAGTGCTCATCCAAGTACATTTTAAAGGTTTTCTGCTTCACCTTCCATCCCAGGCATTGCATTCCAAATACCCACCACACTCAAGGTGAAAAAAAAATTCTCAAAACCTCTCTAAACTTCCAGCCTTTCACCTTAATATTATCCCCTCTTGTTAATCACATTTCAGCTAAGGGGAAAACTGCTTTCTATCTAACCTGTCTGAAATAACTCCACAGAGGCCATTATCCATCACCGAGTCACCCATTTATATACATGGGCATCCTGACTTTAATACTGCCTCATTCAGAGTCAGCTCTCAGAGTGTCAGTATCTCTGACACTCTCCTTTTTATATGCCAGCCAGGGCTCACTAATTGGACCAGATTAATGGCCCCAGTGAGGGAACTCATATCCTATGAGGTTCAGCTGGCTGACTTCATTACAATCCCTACACTCTCCGTGCCCCTCATAATCCTATACACCTCAATCAGGCGCCCCCTCACCTTTTCTGCTCTAAAGAAAACAACCCAACCTTATCCTTAGCTTCTCTTGGTAGCTAAGCTGCTTCATCTCGGGCAACATACTGGTGAATGTCCTTTGCAACCCCTTCCAGTGCAATCACATCTTTCCTTTCGTGTGGTGACCAGAACTACACACAGTACTTAAACCGTAGCCTAACCAAAGTTTTGTACAGCTCCAACACTCAAGGTTTTAACCTTCCTACTCTTTTAATCTATGCCACAAGAAATAGAGGCAAGTGTCCCATATGCCTTCTTAACTGCCCTGTTGACCTCCAATAAATGTTTGAGTGGGTACCTGGCAGCTATGGTTTTACAAATGCTCCTCCAGGTCTCCATCTTGGCTAATATTGCCTATCATCTCAGTTTCCACCTATATCTTTCATCCAAGGAGGTGGGCATCGGATACGGACTAGCCTTACCACATCATGCACATCTCTAACCTTACATATACAGTTTACCATCTAAATACTGCACTTTGGTGAGCACCTCTTCAATGCTGCTGCAAGGACAGTTTGTGTAGTGACAGGCACATGTCTCACGCATCAGGTCAGAGTGCACCACAGATCTCTTAGCTTGTTCTCTTAGTGCCCATTCATTTGGTGCCTACATGGATGCTTGCAACATCACTGCCTTGATGTCCCTTGTCTTTTTGTGCACAGATAGTACCTTCCAAGCCTATGACCACTTCCATCTAGGACAAGGGCAACAGATACATGGGAACACCACCACTTGCAAGTTCCCCTCCAAGTCACTCACCATGCTGACTTGGAAATATATTGCGTTCCTTCTGTGTCGTTGGATCAAAATCCTGGAATTCCCTCCCTAAAGGGATTGTGGGTCAAACTGAAGCACGTGGATGGCAGCAGTTCAAGGAGGCAGTTCACCACCACGTTATCATGGGCAAGTAGGGACAGGCAATAAATGCTGTCCCAGTGAGTGATGCCCACATCCCAAGAGCAAATAAAACTTTTATAAAATAAATAAATAGAAATAGCTGGTGCTTCCAAGGGGAATACAGCAAGTTTCCCTTGGCAAGGGAGCTTGGGGATCTGAATTGACAGGACTGCTACAAAAATATTGAAGCTTTCTGAGCATTGTGCAGTGTCTGGGGACTGTGCCAAACAAGTGTGCTGGAGTTGGAACCCCAAATGGAACCTCCACTAGCCACCTCTGTGAGGCCTTATCTGTGGGATTTGCTCCAGGTATGATACAAAAAGCAGCAAGATACACAACAATCTGGTGAGAAACGAAGAAATCTCATAAAGAATATAAATCAGAAACTATCTAACATAAGAAATAGGAGCAGGAGTGGGCCTTTGTGTTTTCTTTGCCATTGAATAAGCTCACAGCTTACCTTAAATTCACATTCCCACACTCTCCTCTATCCCTGCCAATAAGGGTGGTGCTGTTGTGGTCTGGCGTACTGACCTCTACCTTGCAGAGGCTGAGCGCCAACTCTCAGATACCTCCTCCTACCTTCCCCTGGACCATGATCCCACCATGGCACATCAGGCCATTGTATCCACTACGGTAACTGATCTCATTTCATCCGGTGATCTCCCCTCCTCCGCTTCCAAGCTAATAGTCCCCCAATCCCGCACAGCTCGTTTCTACCTCCTGCCAAAAATCCACACACAGGATTGTCTGGGCAGACCCATTGTTTCAGCCTGCTCCTGCCCCACAGAACTCATCTCTTCCTACCTTGACTCAGTCTTCTCCGCCCTGGTCCAATCCCTACCCACACACATCCATGATTCATCTGACGCCTTACGCCGGTTTCAAAACTTCCTGTTTACCAGCTCCAGCCACCTCCTCTATACCATGGATGTGCAATCCCTTTACACGTCCATTCCCCACCAGGAGGGTCTTAGGGCTCTCCGCTTCTTCCCGGAGCACAGAACTGAACTATCCCCACCCACCACCACCCTCCTCCGTTTGGCCGAGCTTGTCCTCATCTTCAACAACTTCTCTTTCAACTCCTCTCATTTTCTTCAGGTAAGAGGGGTTGCCATGGGTACCCACATGGGCCCTAGTTATGCCTGTCTCTTCGTGGGGTACGTGGAACATTCCTTGTCCCAGTCCTATTCCGGCCCCCACCCACAACTCTTTCTCTGAAACATCGATGATGTCATCGGTGCTGCTTCCCTCCCTTGTCTGGTATTGGAAAACTTCATCAATTTTGCCTCCAATTTCCACCCTGTCCACACTTTCACCTGGTCTATCTCTGACTCCTCCCTTCCCTTCCTCGACATTTCTTTTTCCATTTCTGGGGATAGACTGGCCATTAATATCCATTACAAACTCACTGACTCCCACAGCTACCTGGATTATACATCCTCACACCCCACTTCCTGTAAAGACTCCATCCCATTCTCCTAGTTTCTCCGTCTCTGTCGTATATGTTCAGATGAGGCCAGCTTCGACAAGGGAGCCTCCGAAATGTCCACCTTCTTCCTCAACTGAGGATTCCTCAGCTCCGTTGTCGACAGGGCCCTCAACCAGGTCCGACCCATCTTCCGCACTTCCGCCCTCACCCCTTCTCTTCCCTCCCGCAACAACAATAGAGTTCCCCTTATCGTCACCTACCATCCCACCAGCATCCACATTCAGAAGATCATCAGACGCCATTTCCGCCACCTCCAGCAGGATGCCACCACCATACACATATTCCCCTCCCCTCTTTAGTCTGCCTTCCGCAGGGACCTTTCCCTCCGGGACACCCTGGTCCACACTTCCTTCACCCCCAACACCTCCCCACAGCCCTACGGCACCTTCCCCTGTAACCGGCGAAGGTGCAACACTTGCCCATTTACCTCCTCCCTCCCCAGTATCCAAGTGCCCAAACATACCTTCCAGGTGAAACAACACTTCACCTGCACTTCCCAGAATCTAGTCTACTGCATTCGCTGCTCACAATGTAGTGTCCTCTACATTGGGGAAACGAAGCGTAGACTTGGCGACCGCTTCACAGAACATCTATGTTCTGCTCGCAAAAAAGACCCTGAACTACCTGTTGCCTGCCACTTCAATGCACCACCCTGCTCCCTGACCAACATCTCTGTCTCTGGCTTGCTGCAGTGTTCCAGTGAAGCCCAATACAAGCTGGAGGAATAACACGTCATTTTCTGCTTGGGGACCCTACAGGCCTCCGGACTCAATATTGGGTTTAATAATTTTAGGGCCTAAACTCTCCCATGTCCCAGCCCCTTACCCGACACACCAGGCCTTGTTACCACATAGCCTGCCATTACACACCCGCTGTTGTCAGTCACTAACAGTCCCCATTAACAACTACTCAATCTCCCAGCCTGATCGTTAGAACTCCTTTGACTGTCCAACTGTCTTTCTCTCTCTTTGGGCTCCATCCTATCATTTACTCCCCACCCCACCCACCTTCCTATTTTCTGCATTTAAACTGACGTTTTCCCAGCCACCATCAGTTCTGAGGAAGGGTCACCGGACCCGAAACGTTAACTCTGTTTTCACTTTCACAGATGCTGCCAGACCTGCTGAGCTTTTCCAGCAAACTTTGTTTTTGTCCCTTGACTACATTGTTCTGTGTCAAAAAGAAGATATACTTTCCTGAAAACCTCCAGTTTGCTCTTCCATAGTACATATTATACATACACATTATTATTCCATCAAGGTTATTTTACTAGCAGTATTTATTTGCTTTTAGGAAAATAGGACACAGAAACATAGGATTTAAGAACAAGAGTAGGCCATTTGGTCTTTCGAGTCTGCTTCATTATTTATTAAAATCATGGCTAATCTGATTATGGTCTCAGCTCCACTTTACTTTCTGTACCTCATAACCCTTGACTCCCTTGTCTATAATTTTTTGCTGTATAATCTCATGGGTTTAGAATTCTCATGGAGTTGTTCTTGGCCATAGATGTCTCTGAAGTACTTTATCACAGAAACTGAGGCAGGGTGACATGATGTTAAATTACTGCCCTTGATTTTAGCCTACAAGATTTTCTCCCTAGCACATTAGTAGGTATGTTGTTCCCCTGCTAATTGTTTGCCCTGACATTTAAATATTAATGAAATAAAGATGAGACCTTAGGCACCAGTTTACTCGAGCCTCCCAGCCTGTCTCGATTCCCTGCAATCTGCGTTCCAACATAACAGGTCCACAGCAGATGCCACCTCAGTAGCCCTGTACTCATCCCTGGACCATCTGGACAACAAGGACACCTACTTCAGACTCCTACTTATTGACTACAATTCAACCTTCAACACCCGTAATTCCCTCCAGACTGATCTCAAAACTCTGAAACCTAGGTCTCGGCTCCTACCCTCTGTAACTGGATGCTCAGCTTCCTGACCCATAGACCGCAATCAGTGAAGATAGACAACTGCACCTCCCCGACTCAACACTGGAGCCCCCAAGGATGCATTCTCAGCTCCCTGTATGCTCACAACTGTGTAGCCAAATTCCAAACAAACACCATCCACAATTTTGCTGACAACAATACCATGGTCAAATGGCCATCAAACAACGATGAGTCAGAATGCAGAAAGGTGATAGAGGGCTTGGTGACATAGTGCAGTGATAACAACCTGTTTCTCAATGTCAGCAAAACAAAAGAATTGATCATTGACTTCAGAAAGAAATGAGGAGAACATACCCCATCTACATCAATGGACCAGTGATTGAGAGGGTTGAGAGCATCGAGTTCCTAGATAACCGACAGCCTGTTTTGGACTTCCCAGGTAGATGTGACAGTCAAGGAGGCACAACAATGCCTCTTCTTCCTCAGGTGACTTAGGAAAGTCAGCATGTCCATAAGGACCCTCGCCAACTTTTACAGATACACCACCGAAAGCATACTATCCAGGTGCATAATGGCCTAGTAAGGCAACTGTTCTGCCCAGGACCGTAACAAACCACACAAGGTTGTGTGCATAGCCCAGATCATCACAGAAGTCAACCTTCCATCCATGGATTCCATTTTCACTTCTAGCTGTCGTGGAAAGGCTACCAACATCATCATAGACACCTCCCACCCGTAAAGCTATCCGACAACCTCTTCCGTCAGGCAGAAGTTACAGAAGTTTGAACATATGCACCAGCAAGTTCAAGAACAGCTTCTTCCCTGCTGTTATTAGACTGATGAATGGACTCTATAACTTCAAATAATGTTGATCATGTTAACATTGATCTTGCTTCATGCACCTCCTGTGCAGTGTAGCCTGTGTACCTCACTCTGTCTCAGCACCCTATGATCCGTATGTCCTTTCCCACCATGATCTGCCTGTACTCTCGCAAACAAAGCTTTTCACTGTACAGTGTTCTTAAGTTCATGTGACTACAATAAACAATAAATCAAATAAATCACTTCACAGTATTTCCCCCATGCCACCTCAGTAGTACTGTTACACAGCAAGACTGAAATATGAAACGCAGTATGTACACTTTAGCAGTTATTGAATGAAAAATCTTTAGAAGGATGTGATCTAATTTAGCTACTTTTCTCTCCCATATGCCTTCCAAAACCAGGCACCAACAGAGTTCCTTCAGAGCCATCAAAATCTCTACATTTGGAAACATTTAAGGGGCTTCTAGTACCTGTAAATTTCCTGCACTGTTGACACCCACAAGAAGAAGGCACAGAGCAGAAATCTTGCTGCAATTATTTCCTGTGTATGAGATTAATCCAAACCAGGAAAATGACTTGGAGTCATGGCAAGCTGAACTTGTTTAGGAAAGCATTGCCATGATCTACTGATACAATCCTGGAGGACATCCAGTCTCCAAAGTTTCTGCACATGTGTTCTTTGCTAATGAGAAGCAACACAGAACATAATGAAAAGGAAGGTCAGGAAAAACAATCTAGCAAACATCATGGGAATAAGAGGAGGTCAAGTCATGTATTTCCCAAGCTACTGGACCTGCCTACTGGAAATATATCCTTTATAGTTTCTATAAGAGGAAAATTTAATTTGAATCTTATAGTGAGAGCGAGATGCAACTAGGGCAACAATTTACAGCCTGATAAGTTGAAAATCCATGATTATATCGTATCAAGATAAAAAGGTACAATGCTGGGAATCTGAACCAAAAAGGGAAAATGCTTTTAGATGTTTGTATTGAAAACATATTTTTTTTCTTTGCAAGTGTTTATGGCTCTTCTATATTGGTAAATATGTTTTGTTAAAGGAAGTGAATGTAATTGCACTGCTGTTAACTTTCTGTGAGGTTGTTAATAAATGTATTGTGATTGAAGACAGTTGCATCATGAGGTGAATTTAGTGAGTGCCTTACTCTCTATTAAAATACAAAAAAGTATTTTATATAATAACTTTACAATTCGGAGCCTGTTGACTTTACAGAAGATCTCATTTACTTACTCTGCAGTTTTCACAACACCTCCCATGTGCACATTGTGAGCCAGACGTTAAACTACAAGTGGCTGCATTGCAACAAGGATTAGAGCATTTCTAGAAAAAAAAGCAAGTGAAAGATAACATAAAATGAACAGATTGACTCATAGAACTTCTAAAATTTAAACAAATTGTCAATCCCATTTTTGTGTTTGACCTTAGCAGATTTTTCTGTAGCTGTTCAGTGGAGTCAATGCACATATCATCATAGCGGTCAAACATAATAGGAGGTTTCAAATCAGGTTTGTAGAATTTTGCTGCTTCTTTCTTCTGTTGGTAACTGTGCTGTAGTCTACCTATTATGCCGGACTGGAACCGGCCTCCCGAAATACTAACCGATGTTTTTTCCATTTTTGTATCAGAGATAGTAAGAACTGCAGATACTGGAGAATCTGAGATAACAAGGTGTAGAACTGGATGAACACAGCAGGCCAAGCTGTAAAACGGGAACCGTCCTTTTACACCAATATGCAGAACATTGTATAAACGGTACTCCATCTTTTGAGATTTATGGTTTTAAAGTAACATTCTTTGTAACACAGTTGTTGCGATGTTTCAAAGTTGATTTTAACCAAATATTTTACAAAGGAAATGTTGAAAATGATCAGGATTTAGCAATGTATTTGAAGAGAAACAGTCAACATTTCAGCACTCCAAAAGACAGAAGGGAAGGTATGGGATCGGCGTTCAGTTCCAGCCTCGGGCGACTGTCTTGTGGAATTATGCACGTTCTCCCTGTGTATGTGTGGGTTTCTGCCTGGTGCTCTGGTTCCCTCCAACAGTCCAAAGATGTGCAGTTTGGGTGGTTTGGCCATGCTCTGTGTAAGTTATGTGCTTTAGCCATGGAAAATGTACTTTTACAGGGTGTGGGGGGTTTGAGTCAGTGTGGACTTGTTGGGCCAAATGGCCTGTTTCCACACTGTATGGATTCTATGATTCTATAATACTGCAGTAGGGGAGAAAAAAGGAAACACCACCGAACAGATTTGACAATTATAATTTCAATTTTTAAAAATATCAATTAAGTTATAAATACAGTTCTAAATACAATTTCACGCTCTGTTTGATGATTCATTATCATTTTAATTTCTCTTAGTTGATTTGGTGAGGTTCTATTGTTTTGTGTTATTTCTTGATGATTGACCATGCTGTCAATCATCATTAGGTTTTATCATTGTTACAATGACAACTAATGCCTATAACCATAGAGTGACTTTTGATGCACAAAATTGTCCCATGAAACTTGACAAAGATGTAAGAAAGAGAGATGTAGACCTTAAGGAGGTTGGCCAAAAACCTGATCAAATAAATGAATTTTAAACAGAGATTAAAAGGAGGAGAGCTGTGGGGGAGGCAGATGGATTTAGGATAGGATTTCTCTAGTCCACGGTGGCTTAAGCCATAGTTGTTGAAAATGAGGAAAAGTGATAAGGGAATTTCCAAGAGGCTAGAGATAGAGCAGAGGAGAATTTGGGAAGAAGGGGGTTGGTAGGGCTGCTGAAGGTTGGACAGTTGTGGGCGTGGGTTGACAAGGCCATAGAGAGGTTTACATGGATTACTATCACTGTCAACAGATCTGTGCACAGGGGCGGTGTTGGTGGTACAGCAAACCCTGCAGGACTTGTCATAGTGGCTGGGTGATTAGGATTGGAAAGCCATATGGATCTCCCAACACAGGTTCAAATCCTGATGATTACTTTTTTTAGCATTCATTATTTAGGGTCTTGTGACATGCAGCAGTCCCTATATTTTCCTTTCCGGAATCAAAAATCAAATGACATTGTGCATGGAATCTTGGAGCAATAGTTGCATGCATGGGCAGTCACACAACTTAGAGGGAACATGAGTGACAAGGTGGTAGTGTCCCTACCTCTGGGCCAGAAAGTCCAGATTCAAGTCCCATATTCTTACATGCTCAAATAGGTTCATTAAGATTTTTTTTTCTCTTTCATGAATTGAATAATTTTAAATTTGGTGCACTGGGGTTTAAAATCCAACATTATTCATCAAGAAGATGAATGAGTGGCTGAGTTTTAGATGAATTTAAGTTTGTGAACAGTCAAGAATGAGAGGTTAGACAGGTGAGTATCAGAAAAATCAATATGATAAGAGTGTCTATCTTCATGTTAACTAAAACAAGAGATTTATTAGAAATTGGAAAAAAATGTGATGAGATTTGACGTTTAACCTGTGGTGTACCGCAGTCACACTCCTCTCCCTCATCAACAATGTTATTGCCACAGGATGGTAGGGAATACTGATCTTCTAATTCTGGTTCATTTTGAAGACATAGTCCACCTCCTCTCTCGATAAACCTTACAAAATCATTCTGACTGCAGCTACTGAAATTCCTTGAACCTCTGTAATAAAGAGAATATTTGTAATATATATATGTAATTTATTCCAACTAATTCTTAGCCTGTTAGTTGCTAAATTAATCTTGGCTAAACAATTATTTTGTACAATGATATTCAAGACATCGATCGTCGTATTTCTTTAAAAGAAAGCTGTAATTACAGATACTATTTCGATTGTGTATTAAATTAATATGATGGATCAGTTACAAGGCCATAATAGGAACAGAGATAGGCTGTTCAACCCCTCGAGCTTGCTCTGCCATTCAATAGGGTCGTGGCTGATCCAGTGCTCTTTGTGACCTCTTTCCTGTCCCTTTCCCATAATGATTGATTCCCCCGCTGGTCAAGAATCTACCCATCTCAGCCTTAAGTATGCACAAGGACTCTTTCCCCATGTTTTCCTGTGTCAAGGAATTCTGAAGACTCACAATAATCCGAGAGAAGAAGAACCTCCTTGTATGTGTAGAGATTGATTGCCTTGACAGTAGAAAATGTTCAGGGGATTTAGTACAGGTGTTCAAAAGCATGAAGAGTTTTGACAGTGACAGAACTGGTCAGTTAGTGTTTTCTTTCATGTGATGTGGTGTTGCTGGCAGGTCCAGCCTTTGTTATTTATCCCTACTTATATTGAACTGAGTGGCAGTTAGGCAATCTCAGAGACCATTAAGAGTCAATCACCTTTCTGTAGATCTGGTGTTGCATGCAGGGCAGAGCAAATAAGAATGTCAGATTTCTTTCCTTAAAGAATAGTAGTGAAACAGATCAGTTTTCATGACAATCAACAATAGTTTCTTGGTTGCAGTTACTGGAATTAGCTTTTCATTCCAGAAATACTACCTGAAGTTCAGTTCTCTGGATCTGAACTCATGTTCCAAAAGCATGAGCCTGGGCTTCTGAATTACTCATCCAGTGACATTTCTGATGCAATGCCACTCCCTCATCTTGTTATGATCTGAAATGCCTGAATTTAGATGGCAGCAAGTTTAGTAATAATTTTGGTAAAACAATTGGAAAATATTTGAAGCAGAAACCTTGTGGTGAAAGTTATTCGTTTGATAGCTCTTTCTAAGCATCAGCACAAGTATTTTGGGCTGAATGGCAAATCATTTCATGAATCTATGGTTGAGATTTTACTGACCAGAAAGGACTCTATAAGACCTGTCCTTTACTCCATCACATCTGACCCCTGTTGTCATACCTATTATCTCTTTTCTTTCCTGAGTCAATCAACTATATATTGAACTTAATTGTAGTAGCTGTTTCTATGGCTTTTTGACATTTTCAACATTTCTTTCCTTGTCTTCCTTATTTTAATGTGTCTTTGTAATTTAAATTCTTCAACCTAGCAGATAATTTGTCTGGATAACTTTGTTAATTTTATCTATAATCTTGAAAGCATCAACTATACTAACTCAGTTCCATCTTTTCCCTGTTCAGAAATAATTACACTCCTTTCTCAGGAAAGGTGTTGAGGCAGAGTAAGTAATGTGTTTCTATATCTGAGTGAACTGTAACATGTCACCACAGAATTTTCCTTAGCATTTAGCTTTGTCTTTATATTCCTGTAAGCTGTAATTGACATTTATTTGAAATTTGATTTTAAGTATTATAGTGAAAAAAATGGAAAATAATATCCTTTTCTCACATAATAAGCCAGTTGCATACTTACGAAATTGAACTGAACATTATGCAGCGATTAGTTGGGCAATCACATGTTCGTTGATCATCATGGCTAATGCCCATGTTATGTCCTAATTCATGGGCAAGAATTGTTGCTGCAGTCGGCACATTGCTGTTATGAAACTAGTTGAAAAAGGAATAGATTTGGTTGATTAGAGGAAAAATACCTTTAGAACAAGAACAACTTATACTGCTATAGCATTATGAATCTAGTAAAATGTCTCAGACAGTTCGCAGAAGTCTCACAAACAAAATTTGACCAGCGAACCATGACAGGTAATTTTAGGACAAATGTTTGGTCAGGTGTAGGTTTTAAGTATGTGAGTATGTAACTTTTCCTGTGACCTAGTTTGGAAATAGGAATTCAAACCCAAATCTGAAATCTTAATCAATTAGGTCAGATGACCAAAAGCTTGGTCAAAAGGTATGTTTTCAGAAGTGTCCCTGCAGGAAAAAAGTGAGAGAGAGAGTCAGATAGTTTTTGCAAGGAAATTCTATAACTTGGAACACAAGGAACTGAAGCAGGACCACTGACAGTGAATCATTAAAATTGGGAATGCTCAAGAGGCCAGAATTGGAGGAACACACATATGTCAAAGGAGGACAAAGCCACGGAGTGTTTGAAAACAAGGACAATAATGTTTAAATCAAGGTCTTGCTTAACAAGGTAATGGTGATATTCAAAGTGTAGTGATTGTAATGAGGTCAGCCGAGTGGACCTCATAGAATATAAGTTCCCTGATTCAGACTGTTAGATAAGAACAACAATGTCAAACATCTTGTTCACATTGAGAGCTGGCTCTATGTCAAGGGCTCTCCATGTGTAAATAAAGGGTAACCTGTTGATGAGATACCACCTTTGTGGAGTTATTTCAGTGGCAACAAGACAAAAGCACATTCCTGGGGAAACTCGCTCACAACAATCATCTTTGAGTTGCGGTAAGCATTTCTGGCATCATGCTGTTATTTGGAAACCTTGACTCATTTGATCCTGCTGTTGAAGATTAGGCCCAGTATGTGGAAAGAATATGTTATTTTTTCTAGGCAAATGACATTGGGCAGATGAAAAGCAATGAGTAATTTGACTAGACCCGCAGTTTTTTTGGTTATTAGGATTCTAACTTTCCGAGGCACCAGATACTAAAACCATTCAAGAGTTGATGGATTTAGCTAAGGAAATATTATGATCCCAAGCCTCCTCTAATTCTAAGATGCTATTGGTTTTACTCGACAATTTGGGAACCAGGTGAATCCATATCGGGATTTTTGATGAGGTTAAGATGATTAGTAGAGGCATGTGACTTTAGTTTAACCCTTAATGAGATGCTGACAGACCATTTGGTTTGTGGGATTATTGCAAAAGCACCTACTAACCGAAGCCCATCTGGGCTTCAATAGGCAATACAATTGACTTTATTATTTGAAAATGTGGCAAATCGAGTGTGTGAGTTGCAAGGTAAGCCATAGCCAAGCCGTAGCTTTCAGGGAAGTGAAGAAACAGGTGTCATCCTCTAAGATGTTGACACACTATGATCTCAACTGAGATCTTGTATCGATATGCAATGCCTCCCCATACGGCATCAGGGTAGTATTAGCTCATAGGTGGCCCAATGTAGAGGAACATTCAATAGCGTATGCTCACAGAACTTTGGCTAATGTAGTGCGTAAATAAGCCCAGATAGAGAAGGAAGGTTTGGCAGTCACATGTGGAATCAGGAAGTTCCACCAATATCTTTACGGACATAAATTTGTAACAATAATAGACCACAAACCCCTGCCAGGTCTACTTAAAGTGGACAAGGCAGTGTTGCCCATTGCTTTAGGCTGAAGTCAGTGGTGGGCTCTACTAAGTGCGTATAATTACAAGTTGAAGCACTGTCCGAGAGGCCAAGTAGCAAATCCGGATGCATTGAGCTGCCTCATGCTGGCAGACACACCACAGGTGGTACTGCCACTTGAAGAATCTGTGATGGTTTTAAATTTTCTGGACACACTTCCAATCACAGCTGACAATATCAGACTTTGGATGCAGAAAGATCCGGTCCTAGCAAAACTGAAACAGTTGGTGTTGGCAGGGTAAACCAAAGGGCTGTCACAACGAGAATGGAAACCTTTTTGGAACCAGAGAAACCAGATCGCAGTAGAGGACAGCATATTATTATGGGGAGCAAGAATGATTGTCCTGAGCAAAGGTCACCGCCAGATACTGGCTGAATTCCTCCAAGGTCATCCAGGGGTTTATCATCAGATTTATAAGCCTTCCCTTCCTTGATCTGTTTTGTCAATGGTTCGATTTTTATTTATACAAGTTCGAGAGATGTCAGGAGCTTATAATTTCCATTATTGGTATAACCTACTTGACTGACACTTCCTTGGGGTTGTAATAAAAGCAGTTATTTTCAAATAAAATTAGGACTAGGTTGTGCCTTTTCATGCAATTCCATCTATGCCAGTGTTTCTGCACGGTTCATTGGATCTGTGCTAAGTGCATACTGGGTGAATGATCTGAAAGTGCCATGAGTTGGCAAGAGGACTGTAAGGGGCAATATACTGGTTGGTGGCAGACAGGATTAGATATGGAATACATGAGTGGTAATGGGGAGTGAGTGAAGGGCTGAGGACTGAAAGTTAGAGGGCCCAGTATTTCAGAAAACAATGGGGACTAAGTTCCAGAGAAGACTTCTTAAAGATCCCACCTTGCCACTTGGCCATCCATGCAATCACATTGGATCTGTGCCTGGGGCCGATGATCTGACTGCATCACAGTCTCACTTTTCCCCCACCTCACCCTAAGGAAGATCCTGCCTTTGGAGCACTGTTTTCTGAGGTCCATGTGCTAAGCCTGTTAATTTCCCCAATTCTGCTACCCACCGTGAGCCTATTGAATCAGCCCTCAAAGTCCAATTTAGTCAATGGTTGTCCTATAGCAATAAAGCAGATCACTTACAACATCAATTCCACCTCCAAGCCTGGTTGAGCAGACTGTGCTTACAAAGGCCAAGCCTAGAATTCCACTGAACTGAGCTTTACCTCTGAAACAGAGAGAAAACAATGAAACAAGAGATGTCACTGTTAATATACCTGAACAAACTGGTTTAGCTCTACAGGCTATCTGATTGTTCAAAGTTAAAAATACATCTCTGTTGACTCTCCAAGAGAATAATCTAAACATATGTTTGCAGTGCAAGATATTTGAAAATATTGATCATGAAGGTAGAACAATCCTAGATGTAGCTTTTTGTGTCATTTCAATTGACTGTTATACATTCTGTCCAACATTTAACTCCATTGACTTCAATAGGTCTGAATAAAAGGTGTGTTGGTATAATTGGCAAATAAAACTGTACTTGTTTTGTCTTTCTGCCCATGTCAAGTCATCATATTCTGTCAATACAATGTTGGCCTTTGTTCCTTAAGTCTGACGTATTTTAAAGTAATGCAAAACCTGATAACATATTTGCTTTGTACTACTGTTATGAAATTGGGTAGAGTAATTGTGAAGTGGAAGGCAGGAAGCTAAAATGTGTAGTTCCTTTAAGAGATTTACGCTTAGTCTGTACTTAGAAATTTGAAAAAAAGTATGTATGTCTGTGAACAGCAGCTGAAGTTGCCAGTACAGAGCATCAAAGTGAAACAAAGGTATCAAAGCCTTACAGGTGACTGCCGAAACAGCAGTCTTGTTTTGATGTAGTGACAACGAGTTTGAATTCAGGCAATTAATTTATACAAAGCAACTAGATACAGAAAGCCAATTGAATTTAAATCTGATGGCGTTGACAACCTGAAACCAATCATATTATAAGAATTTGATTATGTCATTACAGGTACATAAGATGAGGGCATTTGGAAAACTGGAGAGTGCCAACTACCACATACCAGAGTTAGCAGCATTCAGCTCTTAGAGAAAGCCCATCTAATTAATCAAAGGTATCGTGGTATTTTAGCTCAAAGTCTTCATTGAAGAAATTATAGAGATTAAACATTCCTGACAGCAGAATTAATTTGTGAAGAGGGTGGAGATGACAGGATATTCCAGGAGAGAGTCTGTGCAAACTTGGAGAGATTAAGTTATAATTTATTGCTTCTTATTAATTGGGTTTGTATTAGTGGGACTTGTCCTTATTTAAACAACATTCCAGTAGACTTTAGACCAGTTAGGGAGTAGTTAGGTGTTGAAAGGGGAATTGTCAATTTGTTAGTAATTTTGTTAATTTGTTCATTGCTGGGTTAAATAGATAAATTGTTTCTTTGCTAATTGTAAAGTGGAGATCAGGGATTTTCTTTCTTTTAACCATTCTTTTAATAGATTATGAAGGGAAAGATGAGCCTCTCTGGGTTTTTTTGGGGGTAATAATTAGAGGGGAACCCCTACTCTTGTCATTACAGATTGGGGCTTGTGTTTTAGTTTAATTATCAGAGGGTTTTGGCCATTCCCTGTTGTAACATCGCAAATTGCTTAATTTTATATGTCCAGTTAAGTATGATAATGACCATGATCAATATCTGGTTTTGTACTGAGTTGGCTGATTTCAATCTAGGGTGATGAAGAAGACCTTGAAACTGTCGTTCTTGGCTGGTATTTTTCAGAACCACATAGGTGGGTTAGGGATTGGAGCCAGGACCAAAGTTTGAAGTAACACATTGGATCAAATACCTGGTGTGTGCACCTTGGAGCAATCTTGTGGTCAATGTACTAGAGGCCACTCACTTGGCAGAGACAAGGCCCCATTGGATCCATTAATGAACTCATTGAAAGGATCTTACTGACAGATGAATGCCCCCCCTTGCAGAGGTCAGAGCCTAACACTGAGCTGAAGATTTCCTCCAAGCAGCTGGTTGGGGCAATTGTCACTCATTCTCACTTCCCCCCCTCCACTATAGACTGACATGAATTCCCCTCCGTACCACTAGCCTGACATCTGTGGCCACGTGGAATTTAAAATCTTTCACAACACCACAGGGAACGACTTCCATTATTTACATCCTACCCATTCCCGGCCAGCAGCTCCCACTATTCCTGATGGCATGCTGTTTATAAATCCCTGTGGACCCTCCCTTTGGGCATTCTTCTTTCCTGGTCCACGCACTGTCTTTAATTATATGGGGCTTCCAGAGACAGAATTGAGGCTAACATCAGGACCACAATCCATCTATGAAAATTCCACCCATGTTTCTCAAACTTCACTGTCCAGTGACTCATGCTGAAGGCAAGATCAGGTCATCATGCTGAGGCAACACTATTGTAGATTCACTTAAAAAGAATGGTTATTCTTAGAGTGGAAGAGCTATTAAACCCCACAAACAGGCACTTCGACTTTATCCAATATCACCAGGAGATGAAGGCAGTAATATTAAATAAAGTATTAGTATAAATTAATCAAAGTCCAGTAATATTTATCTTAAAAGAAACTAAGATAAAGTTTACAAACAATTCAGTTTGGTCTGTCTGTCTGAAAATCCTGATTGCCAATCTCGATATAGTGACTACTATTTCAATGAGTTTGGCCATTTTTGTTTCACTGTTGCTGTGCTCCTGTTGTGCTGAGGCTGTGAAAATCAGACAATACCAAGGCTGCACCTACTCAACATCAACCCCATAGCTCTCTGTTAATACACAAAAGCTGATTGCAAGACTTAAACTATTATAACAAAAACAAAGTTGCTGGAAAAGCTCAGCAGGTCTGGCAGCATCTGTGGAGGAGAAAACAGAGTTAATGTTTCGGGTCTGGTGAGTCCTTCTGAGGAAGGGTCACCGGACCTGAAACGTTAACTCTGTTTCAGTTCTTTTGGTTTTTATTAAACTATTATAACTTTCTTCAAAACATATATTTGATTCACATTAAAGATAATCCATGGATACATGGTTAGTTTTACAGACTGCAACCTTTAGCACTGACATCCTCTGCAGCATGCCTATATTAATTAATATTAAACATGATCAAAATGCAGATTAAATATAAAAGCAACACTTGAAAGATGTCTGAAATTACTTGTGTTCATATTAAACATTGTGCTGGTTGGAGAACCACGTTTTAGACCAGGAACAAAAACCCAGCACTTCCAGTATGTATTCTAATACATGAGGATTCTCCTACACAATGGTTGTCAATGTTGCACTTGACTGGGTGCGCTCTAATTCTCAAACCTTTGCTCTCATTTCATCACCTTCCTCCCATGCACTCAGTGCATTCCATCAGCCTCTATTCAACAAATCATCCTCTGCTAATCCTGCTTCTTCCAGCATGAAGCCATTACCAAACTCTGATTAAACATTACCAAACTCCCCCTTCAGCATTCTGAAGAAACAGTTCCCTCCATGACACCCTCATCCAAGCCTCAATTACTCCCTTCATCCTTTAAGGCAAAACAAAAGTAACTTGTTCAATACACTGTTGACAGTTTAGGTTCATTTCTTTTGCACTAATTAGTATTAATCAGCACATCTGGTAGGTCACTTCTTTCTATGGTTTCATAATAAAACCTTTGAAGAAGTTTTTTAAAACATGGAATACATACATGTTGAAGTGCTTAAAGAGGTTTCCATTAATGTTGTTGCAACAGAGTTGAAGAAGACCAGATGAATTTCCCTTATAGAAAAACTTACAGAATAAGATGCCCACTGTCATGCCGCTTCTCAGGGATCAGGACTCGTTCACGCCATCTTACAAATCTGCCCAAAACATCTCCAGCAGTTCCATTGATGACAATCTGATCTTTATCTTTCCAGAGCACAAGCCCAGTCAGTATGACACGGACATTTAGAGAGCTGTACATCTAACAAATGATTAAAAAAAAGTATTTTTGATTGATAATTAGTTTTCTAAATAGTCATTTGATAGCACAGGACTTGAATATTGCTGAGAAAAATATACATTTTGTTAAAGATTTTCATCTTGCACTCATCATGCCATTCACAAGAATACCAATGTAAAGGGGAAAAGCATTTTATACTGTGTAAGGAGAGGGTGCTGATTGGGACAGCAATTCTTTGGTTCATTCTTTAGGTCATTGCCTTGATTAATCATGGTCAACCTGGTGGCCTAGTGCCTAATGAGGTACAGAATGGATAAAGGGATGTGATGCACACCACCAATATACAGTAATCCATGTGATCATTGATCTTCTAAACCTTTCCTGCCATCTCTAAAGATCGTCATACATAGCGTGATACCACACAAAATCTATAATCACTGGTTCATGCCTTTAACCATGCCTGCTACAATTCCACAACATATGAAACCTTGTGTCTCTCTAGGGTGATAAAAGATAGAATGTTGAAAGTCAGGAATGTCACATCTAGATTAAATAACTGAAAGTTGACCCCCTAAAAAACCCATACATACTCCATTTACGATATGAACCAGTTCAACCATTTGCTCCTGAATCAGAGTTTCATTCCTGTTGTGCAAATTATACTGAAAAACATAAGACATGACCAAACGTCAGTAGATTTAGTGACAGTGATATCCTTTTTACTATAATTTTGAATCCTCTGAAGAAATTGATACTTACTTTATCATTATCAACAACCAAAACCAACTCCACGAATCTGGTTGTTGGTAAAACAGCTCGCTTTTTCTAATGGTTAAACATGAAGATAATATTAGATGAATACTTTATTGGAAAATTCTATATATACCTGATTTTTAACTATGCAGCTTGCATATAAGGTGCAATAATTTGCTTTGCAGCCTTCTGTTTACAGAATAATTCTTATTTTATAATTACAGTATCAATGTGCATACATTTTGTCTGTGTTGTTAGCTTTTATTGCTATATAACAGGATACCACTATCTTTTCATTATTGAAAATGGATTTGAACATTTTTTTATTACCCAGTGCATTACTGACTAGAACACATCCCAACAAATGTACTCCTCTGAAACAGCTAAAGGTGATTTTCCAAAACAACCAGAAAGAAAAGACTGAATGTATTTTTAAGACTGATCTTTGTCTATCTTCCACTTGCTAAGAGGAAAACTGCATTGTAAAAGGATTGATTTTGATTAAAGGTTAAAAATGCAACACTAGCAAAATTAATTTAAGCTGTAAGGCACATGCTCTTATTGTTTGCACACTCATCCCTTTGCAGTCAGCTTGTGAGGCTTTGGAATTGAGCACAAAGAACTTTTGTGGGATTGAAATCAGTGCATCTCTTTACATGGGAGGAGTTTTGTTTTGAGGCTAAGTGTGGAGATGTCACATAAACGGAAGGGGCTTGCATTCGGAGGTGAGTCAGGATTCCCTGTGTGATTACTGTTGAGAATGTTGATGACTGCAGGATCTCTAAGCTTAAGGCACAATTGGATAACAGAATGTTAGAACAATCTTTGCAGTGTATATTTATAATAAACCCAAATATACAAAACATGCATGCATTCTGAACCATATTTATTTGTTAACTTTGCTTAAATGTTAAGACCGTCAATAAAGGACTGTTAAGGATATGTTCACATGCAAACCCAATCAAGAAATACAGGATGTTGTGGCCTCATCTGGTCAAAATTGGGGAAGGTCAACTCCAATCCAGGTAACTGACAACATTTGAGATATTTTTGAATCATCCTGTTCAGGAATGTTATTATACCTCTCTGGAGCAGGTGGGACTTGAACCCAGCCTTACTTGCTCAGAAGAGCTGCTGAAAGCATTTAATTTGTTTTCCCTTTGTTTCTTTCAACAGCCAGAAGCTGTTACATGCAACTGAGTGATTTCTTTCTTCGATACCAAATCATCTGTGGTGCTTTTTTTCATCTGTTAACCACCACCAGTAAATTACCCATGTTTTTTCATTGATTTTATGTGCAAAACCCATTCAGGGCAATGCAGACCATCAAAGGTGTGGGAGAGAGGAAGACAGCTAAATCCTGAGAGCATCTAATTGATTGTGGTTAAATTGCCACTAGGTGGGTAAATTTAAAATCATTTAATGGTTTAGACAGGGACATTAACACTCAAACTGGCTGAACAATTATGGGAATACAAAGGGCTAAATGTTTCTGGACCAAAAATAATGGGCTATGAGGTGTGATGGTTGGTAACATACTAGTGTAAGGCATTGAGATGGGAGCCCAATGTTTTCCTACCAATGTGGTGTATTACCACCAATGGGAATATGATTCAGCTCCTGTCAGAAGGTTAATTGGGTAACATAAATCACCAGTAAAATGCTGCCTCTCACCCCTAGTAGTACTTTCCCCTGACAGTCTCCAAGGGATGCACCTTCCTTATTGGCTGCTACGTGGCCCAAGGTGAGAGACCTATAGCAGAAATGTCTACTCCCATACAGACCATGGTCAGTCAATTAAGAACCCCCTTCTCTGATTGCCAGGACCTGCCTGGCACCTGCTATTAACATTAAACAGCTCATTTTCACAGGCACCTTGAGGGCACGGTTCTCCTTCAACCTGCCATCTCAGCAGTGGCTGCAAAGCTGCTAAACTATTGGCTCTCTGATCTGGCCAGAAGCTTTGGGCTTAGGCTACCATCCTCAATTGTATGGTAGTTCCAAGCTGTGGCTTTTTACTTGATGCTGCTGCTAAAATGCCCTCCCAGGGGTTGGATCCTACTTTCAAGCCCGGTTGCTGGTTATGATCTTCCCTGAGAAAATTCAGCTCTAATTTTATGCTTTTGTTAGAACATGTTGTATTCTGCTTAATTGGATACACTGCATTCTTCAAAGATGTATGTCCAATTTTTATCACTTCTGATTTTATCCAATTAAACATCGATTAATGCTGCTTCTAAACTGCTCAGGAACCTATGATTTATTTTGTCACTTGACGCTTCTAATTTGTTTGTTATTAGACAATGAAACAATTAAATAAAACTGCAATTACTCTCAGGTGCTGCACCAAGCTCCCATAGCTCGAATGACCATCATCGTTTGTTGATTGACTGTGATGAGGTGCTCCGCACACAAACGGTTCTGTTTGCACGTCCTGTAGTCGATAAATTAGGTGTTCAAAGGTAAATGAGTTTTCCAATGGCTCAATTCCAAAACTTCGTTCACCAATCAAAATAATTCCTCTGTAATACACACACAAGGATAAAGAATACACATTGTCGAGTTATTGTGATGAAGCCATTAAAGGACTATGTCCATGATGGTTTGCTTCCAGACTCCATCTATACTTCTTGCTGCCTCAGAAAGGCAGCCAACATGATCAAAGACCCCTCCTACCCCGTTATAATCTCTTCCAACCTCTTCCATTGTGCAGAAGATCTAGAAGCTTAAACACACATATCAACAGATTCAAGAACAGCTTCTTCCCCGCTGTTATTAGACTTCTGAATGCACTTCTCAAATTTCAAATCTAATGTTGATCTTGCTTTTGTGCACCTTTTCTGCAGCCGTAAAATTGTATTCCTAGCTCTGGTCTATTACCATTACGCACTTTGTGTGGTATGATCTGCCTGTACTGCAAGCAAAACAAAACTTTTCACTGTACCTAGGTACATGTGACAATAATAAACCTTATCAGACTCATAGAACCAATCTTTGAATGCATAGCTAGTTATTTTTGAAATGAGTTCATGCAAACACACAGACATTCACACAAATATACCCACACACACACTCAACTGAGTTGAATAACAAGAGGAAAATATTTCCAAAATGTAAAACCACATTTTGTGCAATTTCACAATGCATGCTCAAGGCAGGTATTTCTGGAAGATATGAAGAAAACTATCTTATGTAGGACCTAAAAATGCTTAATCACTGTCAAGTTGAGCAAACCTCACCCTCCTCATTGGTCAATCTAGGCCAGCTACATTCCATGTGGCATTTTTACAGCCCAAAAGCAAATACTTTCCACAAGACAATTGGCCATCAGATACTGCTTTGATATGGAAGAAGTCAATTAGACTCGAAACATTAACTCTGTTTCTTTTTCCACAGATGCTGCCAGACCTGCTAAATTTCTCTCACACTTTCTGTTTTCATTTCAGATCTCCAGCTTCTGAAGTATTTTGCTTTTATTTAATTTAGGACATTGCCCACAACATTGAACTCTGATAATGTACCTGACTTCCATGTTCACCAGCATTTGAAACAGTCTGTTATTATCAGCAAATAAAGAAAGTTCTACTCAATAGATGTGAAGCTAGCAAAGCACAGCAGGTCAGACAGCATCCGAGGAGCAGGCAAGTTAATGTTTTGGCTTGAAACATAGACTTTCCTGCCCCTTCGATCTGTTTGACTTGCTGTGCTTTTCTAGCTTCACATCTATTGACTTTGGCTTCCATTTTCTGCAGCCCTTACTGTGTCCAAGAAAGTTCTACTGTCAGGCCTGCCAGGTGTGACATGTGCTTTTCTCCAGTCATTGATGTGGACAAAAAATATAAACTATGCATTAATACCCAGAAGCAAGATCACCAAATCTTGTTTGTGTTAAGGCATTTCAGATCACAAACTTTTTAAACTTTCTGTAAAGGCTACTTAAATGTGCATAAATAGTTCAGTGTCATTGCAAAAATAAACAAACCGGAATAAATCATTGTAAGTTACAATTGTAATTGGATTATTTTTCCAAACATAGTTGCCCCATATATTTTGTGGGAAAGTGGTGCTATCTATCACCAGATAGCAGAAATTTCCACCAAGCAGCATATGCTCAGTCACACCAGCTTACATCACACCATTGTTCATTTCACACAAGTCAAATATCAGGGCAACCATGGAAAAGGTCTTCCTATCGAGGTGTTCCTACTTCCCTGAAGGAGCTGGAACCCAAAGAATGAAGGGTTGGTACACGAAGTGGATCAAGGTCAATTAATCTCTGCATGAGCATTCATGTGGTACACTTTGTCAGCAGTTTAAAGGGCAAAATGGTTGACTATATCCTTGAGGAATACTTTCCCGCCCCCATCAAAAGTAACCAGAGAATGTGCCACTGTATCAAGTAGTTTACCTGCTTGCCCCAGAAATATTAGATGCCCCTCTGCCCCACAATCTTTAATGCTGGGCATCGTAGCAAGGATGATTCTATGGAGCCACAACCGAAAGGTATTTCTGGCCATTATTTCCTTAAAAGAGTTCATCAGTTTATAATTTGAATTTATGTCATTACTACATTTGAACATCTCTGTACGCTATATATCTGTAAGAAATTTAAAAAAAACCTGAACCTTGCAATTCAATGGTACCACTTAATGAGTGTTTGACCTACCAGTGTGGCAGGCAAGAAGTTTGTGCTCAATATTGCATTATTGCAGCTGGCATATTGTTATAGGTTGAAAGCAAATGCATCCATGGCCGAGGTCTGAAAGAGACATTAGATCCTTTGCATGCATTACTAAGGTTGTGTTTGAAGACCATGGTGCAAAATTGGATTTCACTAACTTAAATAGATGCATGCACAAATTAATCTCTAGGCCCTTCAGGATCTCCAGTTGTTCCCACCTACAAAACCTTAATTCCTCTTGTCATTGTAATTTTTTTGCAATTTTTCTCACATATATATTGCCAGGTTTCCACTGCAAATTTTTCTTTTTGTAATTATTCTCACATTCTGACACCAGGAGGCACAGTAGCTCAGTTGGATTCCACAGTAGCACTACTGTCTGTGTAGAGTTTGTGCATTCTCCCTGTCTCTGCACAGATTTTCTCTGGGTGTTCCAGTTTCCTCCCACTGTCCAAAGATGTGCAGGTTAGGTAGATTGGCCGTACTAAATTGCCAATAATGTCAAAGATTGTGCAAGTTAGGTGGGTTAGCCATGGGAAATGTAGGGTTACAGGAATAGGGTAGGGGGGTGGATCTGGGTGGGATGCTCTTGGAGGGTTAGTGTGGACTGAATGGGCCAAATAGCCTCTTTCAGCACTGTAGAGATTCTATAAGTGGAAGTAAACTTGTTATTACAAATATCACACACATGCACAAATAATAGAACTGTAGCACTTCATCTCTGTATCTCAGTTTTTCACTCATTGTGTGCAAAGAACAAATCTACCCCTTTGTTCCACAAAATTGCCCAATAGGCTTTGCTATTTACCTGTAAATATGCTCGAACTAGATTAAACTAGACCATATAAATAACTAAATAAGAGACTTCTTCTCTTCTCACATCACACCTAATGGCATATGAAACCGATGAAGCTTGTGCTTGCATCTGTTCCACAGCTAAGTTTTTCCTACAATGGTTCATTAGCCTATTGCTGGACGCTGTAGCTTGAGCAGCACCATTTCACATTAAGATACTCTGTAGACTCTCCTGCTTTTACCATCTGCTGTAGGCACTTCAGAAGGATTTTTAGGTTGATACTTAATCTGTTTGACCACATTACAAGCACACCCTCCAAGGGCCATCCAGTTTTGGAGTAGGACTTAAACCTGACCTTTTAAGTCAGAGGCAGGGATGCTATCCACCATTAAACAATACTTCCCAATGATAATAGACTAGATAGCCAGATTAGTATAGATACTGTTTAACTATTAATGAACTATAAAAAGAACAAAATTCTTAATCCCCAAAGTTCCTACAAGAATACTTGGCACTCGTCAGAATTTAAAGGCAAAGGCAGCATTTAACAGCCAGCTGAACACAAATACCTGCACCTAAATTATGATTTTAGATTCAAGGATGTTCTGAAAACCAATCTCAAGAGTCTGTAATTTGGCCTCACTACATTTAAAGCTAAATACCCTAGATTGATTCAAATGGAGAAGTCTCTGTCATCAAGCGTCTCAACATTTGAGGAGAACAGGCATGATGTTCCTAAAGGATGTATGAACCAGTGCCATTGCCCACATTTCGAATAGTGACTTCACATGTAGTATTTTGAATGAGTTTACAAAATCAAAATTTGGTTTAACATCACATATAAGACAGCACCAACCTCGGCAGTGAACATTTAGCCTCCTTGCTGAACTCTTATCTGTCAAAGTGATGGAAAAATCCATCATCATCATAAATCAGGAAATATAATCTTCAGTGCAGAATGGAGAATTCTGCATTGTTTCTTTTGACTAAAAGGTTGAATGGAGGCTCCATCTACCTTCTCAGATGGACATAAAAGATTCCATGTGACTTTTTGCAGAAGAGCAAATGGGCTTTCCCTGGTGTCCTGGCTAATATAGATCCATCAATCAACATCTCTTAAAAGGCCCTCCTGTCATGTATCTCATGACAGTTTGAAGGAACTTCCAGTGTGTAAGTTTGCTGCTGATGTTACAGCAATGAAAAAATTTAAAAAGTAATAAATTGGCTGTAAAATACTTTGAATGCCCTGGTATCAGCTGCTACATAAACAAAAGCTCTTTCCTTTAAATCAAAATATTACATCAATATGCAGGACACATTAAAAATAAAACGCCAAATGGGTTGTATCTGTACAGTCTGGTTCACTATCTACCCTCCACTGTCCTCTAACCATACATCAATTAAAGACTATATTTTGTCTTAAATCCTTGCATATGACAATGAGATTTGACTGTAGAAGAAGTTTATTTAAAGATTCTGGGTTTAAAATAGGGTCACATCGTAAAAATCCCATCTCTAGATTAGAATGTCATGAGTTTGAGCCTGACTTCAGGAACTGAGCACAAAGCCTATGTCAATATTCCACTGCCGCACTGATGAAGTGCTGCATTGTTGGAAGTAACACTCATTGAATTATACGTGAATCTGAGATGCAGGTGTAAAACTGGTGTTAAAGATACCATAGCACATTTAAAAATGCACCTGGTGTTCTCTTGATGTCTTATGACATGACAATGTTCCTCCCTTGCTGTGCACAAACATTTACCAACAAAATAAGACGCTCTGTATCAAAATGTAACTGAATAAATGTGAAACACTTTCAAATGAATCTGGAATTCGGCTACTTCTGATATTTATCATTAGGTGCCATATATGTGCAATTTTATTTTTCAGAATAGCTTTGAATGAAAGTATTATACATAAGACGTCAGTGAGACTTCAAACTCATTTTAGGGGTACAACACCATTTTTAGCCATAAAATGAAAACAGTTATAACATAATACCTGATACCGGAGCATGTGCTGAGTACAACTTTGGAATCAATTACGCCCTCCACAATGCCATGATAGTAACAGTGTGTCTGAAATGAATGATTCATTGTAGATTTTAATTACTGGTTTTATAATACAATTAAGATTGACATTATTGCTATGGCATCATCATTGAGGAAAATACAGTTTTGGATTTCAGTGAAGAATTGAGTGCCACAGTGAAAATTGCAATGAATTTACTTCCTCCTTCCTGCTAGAGGGTATGTCTATGGGCTCTAATCAGTGTCCAGATCCCAGCTTAATTGACTATTCTTCGTGTTTAAGCAAGGTGACTACTATAGGCTTTTACTGTGTGTTGTTCTGTGCGCCCTAATCCCTATCAGTAGCAGTTATTGGATGGTAATTAGATAATAGAATCATAGAAACCTTCCAGAGTGGAATCAGAGCATTTAGGCCATGAGTCCATGGCGCCCCTCTGATGAGCATCCCACCCAGACCCATCCCCCTACCCTATTTCTGTAATCCTGCATTTCCCATGGTGATTCCACCTAACATGCACATCCCTGGACACTCTGGGCAATTTAGCATGGCCAATCCACCTAACCCCTGGCTGATTTTCTCTGTTCTAACTTATGCTCCTACTAGTCAATTAAAGTCAACTGACTCAATACAGATGAATTCTTAAATCTGGTATCTAAGCAGGAAATCCATTTTGGTGCTAATCTGTCCTAATTTTGTGTTCTGCTTTGTAGGCTCATACTAAACAGGGTTGGTCAGATTAATTACTTTTACAACCTTACAGCTGACATGTTCCGATGCTAGTTTTTCTCTCTCCACAAATGCTGATTGACTTGAGCATAAATAGTATTTTCAGTTATTCTTTTCAGAATTTCAACCTTTGAAATTTCTTGCCTTTTTTTTAACAGAAAGCCCATCTGCCATCACATATTTTCTAAGCAGTCAGTGTGGCTAAAAAAATCAACAACTGAAAAAAAATTGAATTGGACCATAATGAACACAATCATTCTGAAAGACTGAATATTTTTAATGAACACAACTAAATTAGTTGTCTTACAATCATTCAGTCTGCTAACAGATAAATGGCTAAATACAGTGAAAGATCTTGGACCTGTAATAAACCTTAAGGTGAGATGTGCTGACACATAGGGGTCAAACAGCTGAACTGTGGTGCACTTACCTGAATCTTGGGGTGGGATGACTTCATGTTGCCTTCTTTGTCATATACATATTGCGCAAAATCTTTAGCAAGCAGCTTCCTGTAAAATAAAATAAAATGCACCTAGCATCTTAGGATTCCACTGGTGGCTTCTTAGGTAACTGGTGTGCTAAGAAGGAAATAACTTATATTTCTCAGAGAGAAAAACTGGCTAAAATAAAGCTACTAGCAACACTTGGAAATGGACGTACTGGTCATCCTATGGCTCCATTATGAAGTATAACAGACAAGGCGGACCTATATGTGTCATTCACAAGGTTTACTAGTTTTTCCTTCTTGGCTGCGTACTGCCATTTATGTTATAAGGATGTTGTGAAACACTTCAAGACCAATAAATTACTTTTGTTGTGTTGCATTCAGCAAGGCTCAATAGAGGTGATATTTAAAAAAAAACAAAATGCAAAATAATGTAAACACTTGAAAATCTGAAACAAAGAAGTACGTTCAACTCTCAATAATATGACCCTGTTGTGCAAAAGCTCTCCACTGGGAAAGTTGCAATGAAAATTGATCAATTTGGAGCTTGATTTTCCCAGTAGGTAACTCATCTTACGTCTAAAATGAAAGCTGGACCCCAGCCCACACAAGCAGACAGTATAAGTAAATAACAGGTCCCCTGCTAATGCCACCTTCTTTAAGCACAGTGGGCTGCCTGAGGGAGCTTCCAGCCCAATGTCTGAGCAACCTCGGCATTGCCAAGGCCTGGCCTCTGCTACGGTTGCAGGGAGAAGAAGAAGGTTCCTCGTCGTTGAGGTACCCACAAAAGATGCCAGTGCCTGGTAGGGAAGCTTCATCAAACAGAGGGAAGAAAACTTCAATGACAGCCTCAGAGCTGTCAAGGCAGCCATTGCTGCCATGGGTCTCCTGTGCTGGCTATGAAATGACCATAAAGGAAAGACCCTTTGGGATGCCTCTGAAAAGATATCTTGATATTTCTGGCAGTGTCCTGGGCACAGCAGGGGCTAACCCAATGCCACTAAAGTGCTGGTGGGGGCAGAAAGTGGCCATTAGCAGTTACAATTGCATGAATTGGCTGTCTGACTCTGATCAATGGGCAGTTTCTTTCTGATTGTCTGCTGTGGCGCTGGAGGGACACAGGGCTTTCTTCCCACTGTCATTTATTGCCCATCTGCCTCAGCCAGGCTCCAGACAGTTAGCTACATTCCAACTCATGTCTCAGCTTCTAGTCATA